TACTACGGAAATCTTGAATTTCAACTTAGAAAGAGGAGTGGTTGCTTTTACAAAATCAGCGGAAATATCCACAGGTAAACAAAATTACTCATTTATTCTATTTTGTTCGAGATGTACAATATGTACAGTTTTTTTGATATGTTTTTTTTAAGGTTAGCCACATGCTTGGTTGAAATACTATTTTAAACCAAAGAGAGAAAAAAGTATATAATCATATTGAACGTCTGGAACAGCAGAGAGCAGCGCATGACAATTTACCTAAAAAAACGAGATATCGTTTCCAGTGAAGAATTTGAAAAAATTCTTAGCGAGGATGATGAAAACACAAAAAGCTTGAAAAATTATGAATTTTATCCTAAGTCACCAAAAAAAAAGAAAAAAAGATCACCAGCCCTTATTTCTCATTTGATTCCAATGACGCTAACTAAATTGTTTACTGAAGTTTCCGCGATCGCTTACACCTAAGCGCTAAAGGCTATCGAAGCAAAAATAGTTAAACCCCTTGAACAGTTTGCTATTTCAAAATTGAATGTTCGTCATCAACAAAAGAAAAAACGAGAAATTTAATTTCATCAATTAAAATATAATTATTAATCCAACCGTCTACTTCATCCATGGGGTAACGAGGATATCAAATTTGCTTCATCACTTAACTATTCAAACATTGCTTTATTACGTAGAATAATAAGATAAAGGAAGGAAAGAAAAACATATTGCTATCCTTACAAGTGAATGGGATGGTTTTGCTGAAGATTCAAATCCCAAAGTTCTTGGAATTCCTACAATTCCAAATGCTATTTGTGCAGCTCAAAAAGATGAATTTATCAACCATTTTAAACCTTGAAAGATATTTAATGATTTGACTGCTTTTTGCTTCGACAATATAACTAGTAAGACCGGCTGTAAAGGCTATAATTGAGAAGGATATCTGTCGTGCAATTTTATTGGCTGCTTATCGGCACTACATTTATGAGTTACATATTAAACACGTCTGGGAAGCAGTTATTGGAAACCATAGCGAGCCGCTACTTAAAATGCTTCAGGATAACTGGGACATAATTTCCTACGAAAAAAAATTATTATTCAGTTTGAATTTCCTGTAGACGGAGATAACCCAATCAATTGTCAAGCAAAATATGTCTTGAAATGGGCCACCAATTGTTTACAAACAAGTACATTTCCAAGAGAAGATTATTGGGAACTTATTGAACTGGTAATTGTTTATCTTGACGGAGAATTACAAGATGAAAAGACTTATTGGTTCAAGAAACGTTGTGCTTATCATCGTGGAAGATTCATGCACAACGAACTATACTTTTTTTTTTTTTTTTTTTCTTTTTATCCGTATATATTTATATATTTCAATAAAACAAAATAACATATTTTTACATATAAGTACAAAACGTACAATTAAAAAATTTTTGTACCATTAAAATTTTTACAAGACAAAAGAAATTCAAAATTCTGTTTAGCGCATGCGCGTTTCACAGTGAAAAAATAAGGTAACTATTCGTTGTTTATAACATAAAGTGCTGGCTATTAACCTATGCATTTAAAAAATATATGCAAGTCCGTCGTACCACAGGGCTATTAGGGACTTGCTTGTCGACTTTGTTGAATATATATATATATATATATATATATATATATATATATATATATATATATATATATATATATATATATATATATATATATATATATATATATATATATATATATATATATATATATATATATATATATATATATATATATATATATATATATATATATATATATATATATATATATATATATATATATATATATATATATATATAAATAAATATTCTTAAAAAATATTTTTCTTTGTTGTAAGGAAACTCGCAGAAGACTAAAATAGTCTTTTCATCGAGAACCTTTAAAACATAAAATAAACTTTAATGAACTAGTTCAACAAATACACATAAGTATTTTGGTATCTACTATATAGTAGAAGTAGTAGGGCTTTTTATTATTACTATTTTTCCCAAATTGTTTAATACATTTCAATGACGTTGGTTAAGTTAATTATGATATGTTTTAGTTTTTTTTTCAGAGCAAAGGTTATCCATTTTATTAAGTTCCATATTTTAAAGTATTATTTTGTTATGTAAGTATGGGCCACGGTATATTAAATAAAATCGCGAGAATTTTGTTTTTTTCAAAGGCAAGGTGAAGTTGCCTGTTCCTCGTGTGATATATTTGCTTGCGTTGATATGAAAAAAGCTATCAGTAAAGTATTTCGGAACAAGTCCGAGTTTGTATTTTAGCATCAATAAGATATTTTGGTAAATATTTATTTGATAGATATTTAATGCATTCAAATTTTTAAGTAAAAGGTCGGTATGAGTGAATTTATCTTTATTATAAATTAATCTTGATGCATGTTTCTGATCTATGTAGAGTGCAGGGCCGTACCAAGGGCGGGGCCAGGCGGGCCGCGGCCTGAGGCGCCAAAATTGGGAAGGCGCAAAATTCCCCAAATTAATTAATTTATTTTCACATTATGAAACTAATTTGCGTGGCGTCACTTTTATGTTGATAAGAAAATTAATTAAAATTGCGCCTCCTGACGAACTTTAAAATAAAAGCTCATTTACCAAACAGAAGAGCGCCCTTAAACACTAAAAAGTTGTATTTTCTGAACATTATTTTTTACAATGAATCGTGCAAAAAAATTATCTGGTGCTGAATTTAAGAAGAAAAGAAGAGACCGTCTTGAAAGTGACGCAAAACTAAGAAATTGTTTCAAGAAGTGGTTGGTAACAAACTCTTCTGTGGAAAAACAAATTATTTCAGAGGATATTTGCAATGAAGTTGATAATGATTCAACAGCTGAAGTTGCTGCTACATTTTTAATTACTGACTTAAGTTCATATCATCCATTGGAATTAATTGAAGAGGAGATTTTGATTGGCCAAAGTCAAGACGAATTTGGACCAAATGATTCAGAAGCACAAGAAAATAGAAATTCTCAGCTTTCCAAACCAATTAAAATGGGCAACAGTGAATTTCCTCCTGAAATCTCAGAAATTTCAGCAACCTTAGGAGAAAACTTTCAACACAGTGATCCAGCTACATGGCCTAAAATGACAGATAAAACAAGGTGCTTTTTGATTCAGCATGGGCCGGAGCAAGAAAGAAGAGAATTTTTCCCAAACACACTTTGTGACTTTGACAACAGAATGCGACACTTCAGCTCAAAATGGTATGAAAAAATTCATCCCAATGGTGAAAAATTTGTTCGTTACTGGCTGCTGTACAGCAACAAAAAAGATTCTTTGTTTTGTTTTTGCTGTCTGCTATTTTCAACGACAAAAACCAACAATTTTTCAGAAATTTCAAAAGGATTTTGTGACTGGAAAAAACTAAACCCAAGAATTCCAGAACACGAAAACAGCAATGAACACCAAAGATGCTATTCTGATTGGAAAAATCTGGAAAAAAATTTCAAGGAAGGAAAGACCTTGAATTATGATCTGCAGAGAGTTATCAACGGAGAGATGAAAAAGTGGAGAGATATCTTGAAAGTGATTGTTGATGCAATTTTGTTCTGTGCCAAGAACAATCTTGCCCTTCGGGGTTCAACAGAAGTAATTGGAGAGCAAAACAGTGGCATCTTTCTGAACTTAATTGAGCTGATAAGCCATTATTATCCTTTAGTGGCTGAACACGTGGCATCCGTTAAGGCAAAGAAAACCACAACATCCTACTTTTCTCCTCGAATTCAAAATGAGCTGATTGAATTACTTGGGCAGAAAGTCAGGAATGAAATTTTGTCAAATGTCAGAGAAGCTAAATACTACTCTGTTTTGTTTGACTGCACTCCAGATGCCTTCCACAAAGAGCAGATGACCCAAATAATCAGGTATGTCCACATCACTGAGGAAACCTGTACAATTGAGGAAAGCTTTGTGGACTTCATTGAATCTCACAAAAAAACTGGAAAGGGCCTTGCAGCTGAAATCACCGAAAAACTGGAGAAGGATGGCCTGAGCATTTCTGATTGTCGGGGCCAAGGTTACGACAATGAAGCCAATATGTCTGGAAAATATAATGGCGTCCAAGCTCACATCCATTCTCTAAATGAGTTTGCAAGATTTGTTCCATGTGCAGCTCACACTTTAAACCTTGTTGGTGTCCATGCTGCTGAAGTTTCTCCACTCATGATTACATTCTTTGGAAAAGTTCAAGCCATCTTTAACTTTTTCTCAAGTTCTACCTTAAGATGGGAAAAACTGATGAAAACATTGACCATCTCACTAAAGGGAAATAGTGATACAAGATGGTCTGCCAAAAAAGAAGCAATCACCCCACTACACAGACAAATCAAAGAAGTTCTTCAAGTTTTGGAATCCATAATTCACACTCCCAAGACAAATGCTGTCTCAGTTTGCAGTGCAAAAGAGCTCATCATTCAAATTGATTTCAGTTTTCTGTGTTTGTTGGATTTTTGGTGTCAAATTCTTTCTTTAATTGACCGGGAAAACAAACTGCTTCAGTATAAAAACATTTCAATTGACATTGCAGCAAAAAAAAATGAAAGGACTGAAGACTTCCATTCAGAATCTGAGAGATGTTGGGGTGGACAACATTATCAAAGCTGCTGCAGAAACAGCTATCCAAATTAGAATTGAAGGAGACTTTCCTATGAAGAGAAAGCGCAAAGTGAAGCAGATGGCACTTTATGAAGCTGAAGATGACTTTTGCCGTTTGTCACCAGAAACCTGGGTTGGCAAAAACCCGGGTTTTTGACCAAAAACCCAACCCAGCTGGGTTTTTGGGTGGGTTTTTGATGGGTTTTTGCTAAAGTTTGGTATAAATCTTTAGTAATCAAAGTTTGATTAATTTATAGTTTATAATATAATAAAGCTATTTTTCATTTTTTACAGGTATATTTTCTTATACAAAAGCTTTATTAATAATCAGATTGCATTTTTTTATAATATAAATCTATTTTTAAATAGAGCTATCTTTTTAGTTAAATTTAAAATATAAGTAGATTATACGTCTTCAACATGCCAAAGTATCATTCAGGGGGAAGAAATAAGGCTAGTGAGTGGAATGAAGTGACCATATTAAGTGATCAACCAAATAGAGTAATATGTAATTATTGCAAAGTGAGCATAATTAAAAAAAAAGAAAGAGTTAAGATCCATTTGGATAAATGCAGAAGAAAGAATAAACGAAGCAATAATAATTCCGCTGAAGTGTTAAGTGATATATCAGTTTTAGAGTCAAGGCCATCTACATCTGCAGCATCAAATAAGTCTAGCCTGTCTGATGATAATGAGCAAGATGGTTTAAGCTTTATTAGTGATTCTTTTTATTCGTCAATTGTTCAGTCAACTGCAATGACGATGCAACAGCAAACATCTATTTCTAAATTTGTTACTACAACAACAAGTAATCAGAAGGATGAACTGGATTTACAAGTTGCAAGATTTTTCTTTTCAGCAAATATACCATTCAACGTAGTAGAAAATCTTGAATTTACCAAGCTGCTTAAAAAACTTAGACCTGGATATGAGCCACCAAATAGAAAACAGATATCTTCAGAACTCTTAGTAAAGATAAATGAAAAAGTAATCAATTTAATGAAAAATGATCTTGCTGATGATAGTGCTGTTACCCTAATTCAAGATGGTTGGAGTACATTCAGTAATGATCCTATAATTGCTCATAGCATCCATAGTAAAAATAAACCTTATCTCATTTCTGCAATTGACACTGGAAGCCAATCAAAAACAGCAGAATATTGCGCTCAAGCTGCTAAGGATGCAATTAAAATTGATAAAGAAACGTTCAATAAAGATGTAAGTGTTAGATGTTTAACTGCTTTATTTAATGTATATATATATACTATATATATATACATTTATATATATATATATATATATATATATATATATATATATATATATATATATATATATATATATATATATATATATATATATATATATATAAGGCCTCATATATATATATATATATATATATATATATATATATATATATATATATATATATATATATATATATATATATATATATATATATATATATATATATATATATATATATATATATATATATATATATATATATATATATATATATATATAAGGCCTCAACGGAAGAACGATTTTAATAAAATGTTTTTTGGGGTGATTTTAATTCGTTGAACTACATGATGGTGTTTTAAATCTTAAAAATTGATTTTCTCAAAACATCAAAAGTGTGACTCTGATCGTTCTTCCGTTGAGGCCTTCATATATATACACATATATGTTTCATTTTTTATTTAGGTATTTGCAGTATGCACTGACAACGAAAATAAAATGTCTAAAATGAGAAAACTTTTGCAGGCTGAAGCCCCTAAGTTGATAACATTTGGTTGCTCTGCTCATTTTTTAAATTTGGTTGAAAAGGATGTCTCTCCAAAGTCTATAGTAAAGCATATTATAGCAATTCATAAATATTTTTGTAATCATCACCAACCACATGTATGTATTAAATTCTTTACTTATTGATCATATTCTGTAATACAATACTATGAAATAAAACAGCTGTGTTAATGATATAAGCCTAATGATAATGATGGCAAAAGAGATCCTAGCTTTATTTTAACAAAATTATTTTTTAATATTTCTTTGTTAAATTTTCTTAAATAAATCTATTATAGGGTTGGTTATTGGAAAAAGGTGGACTGATGCCACAGCTACCTAATGATACTCGCTGGAACTCCCAACTAGACTGTTTACAGACATACATATCTAATCATTCTCTGTACGTTGACATTAGAGGTGAGCATATGGAATCCATTGATCCTTCGATAGGAAGCCTAATTGACAATCCATCAATACAGAGAGAAGCAATAAATTTATATGCACAACTGAAAATTGTTGGTGTTGCGTTAGATAAGGTTAATAAAATTAGTTATTAATTGGATTTATTAAATTTGATTATATTAAGTATATTAAAACCACTTATATTAGGAACAATGTCACCATTAACTTTATTTACCTAATTATTAGCAAAATTATTGTGTTTACTGTAATTGCAAGCAGACGATACAACTTTGTCTGAAGCAGTTGAGATTTGGCAAAGCCTCATACATAATGAAAAATTGGCTTTGTACAAAGATGATATTTTAAAGAGGTTCAAGAAGGCAATTGTTCCATGTCATTTTCTTGCCAATTTAACAGATCCAAAATATGAAGGTAACTAAACAATTGTAAAAAACTTAAAGTATTGCATCTGATTAATTTTTAATAAAAACAAATGTAAGGTTTTTATTTAAGTTTACTACTCTTATAACTTTACTTATTTACTTAGGAAGAACATTGTATAGAAGTCAAGAAGAAGAAGCTGAGGAATGGTTGAATGAAGTCTATCCTGAATTTATGCCAGGCTGTTATGCGTTTAAACTAAAAGATGCTAATTGTTTCCCAACATATTTATTCAACGATAGTGTTAAAAGCACAACATCAGCAACAAATTGGTGGAGAATTATAGAAATGAAAGAATCTAAGTCTTCCAAATTGCCTGCAAATTTTGCAAAATTTTACGGCAGTTGCACACTTGTCCAGCTAGTACTGGATCCATAGAAAGATTTTTCTCATCTTTTGGGATTATTTGGAGCAAAATTAGAAATCGTTTAGGAAGAGAAAAAGCTGAAATGCTTGTACGAATTTCCAGACATTTAAGATCAAGATGCACAATTGCTGATGACTTTTAGATTACTTTGTTTTAAATGATTAAGCTTGAATATTATTGCTCCAAGTAAAATAAAATTCTTATTTAAGACTTACTAAACTTCATTTTTTGTTGTTAGTTGAGCAGCATCAAATCTTGTGTGTTAATGGAAACTGATTTATGAACAAAAAAATTAAAAATTAAAAATTTAAGACCAAAAACCCATAAAGTTAGGTTTTTGGTGGGTTTTTGGTCTTGGGTTTTTGGGTGGGTTTTTGGGTGGGTTTTTGGGTTTGGGTTTTTGGGTACCAACTCTGCCAGAAACAGATTTCGGATCCCAGTGCAACCTTGTTTGACAGTATTTAGCAAATTGAGTGGCGGTTTGAAGCTATGTCTGCAGTATCGTCAGATTTTGACTTCCTCAGTGGACATTCTCTCTCCAAAAGTTCAGTGGATGAACTTAAGATTAAAGCCAAAAATTTGAGGTTGAGGTTTTCGAGGTCAGTGTTCATAGATTGGTAAAAGTCGCTTATAGACGGCGATGAGTAAAATAAATTTGTATCATCAGCGAACATTATTACATCAAGTTTTTTTAGGGCTTTTGGAAGATCGTTGATATATATTAGAAATAAAAGGGGACCCAGAATGAAACCTTGGGGAACTCCGCATTTTATTTCTAGTAGGTCTGAATATTTATTATGATCTGTAACAACGCATTGTTTTCTGCTACACAGGGAACTTTTGAACCAGTCAAGGGATATATTTTTAACACCATATCTTTCCCTTTTTTTAAGTAAGATATTGTGATTAACTGTGTCGAACGCTTTGGATAAATCTATAAAAGTCCCTAATACAAGTTGCTTTTTATCGAATAAATTACTCATGCTATTTACAAGATCTAAAATGGCATTTTCGGTTGAGTGTTTTGTTTGAAACCCGAATTGTTTTTTGTTTAAGAGGTTATTTTGAAGGAGATATTCGTATAATCTATTGTAAACTATTCTTTCAAGTATTTTAGAGAAAGTGATCAGTATAGAGATCGGTCTATAATTATTTAATAAAGATGTTTTGCCTGTTTTAAAAATTGGTATAATTTTAGCTGTTTTCAATTTACCTGGTACAGTACCTGTTTTAATTGATGAATTAAATATTTCGAAGATCGGTTTGCGTATCTCCAATACATCTTTAAGTATGTAATGTTGAACAAACGAATTAACTAGCTCAACCAGAACCAACGCTATAAGCGTAAAAGAATGGCGGATTTCATTGTACTGTTTTAAGTAAAAGCTTATTTGGAAAGTCGAATTTTCATTATTGTAACAAATGTTAATCACCACTGACATGCAGTGGTATCGCGAATTTGACAGTACATGCCACCTTTCAGTCGTGTTTCAGGCATCTTTGGTGTTTAACTCAACATTTAGTTGTATTCATCTTGTTTAATGAATCTTCTCCTGCAATCGAACGTTTTATCGCAGCTTTGAAGTTATTTCAAACATACATCAAAAGATAAGAACAAATCAAGCTTTGAAAACTAATATTTCCACAAGTTGAATTAAAAAATAAATTCCTGATTTTGTGTCCCTGATCGAGCTATAACCCGAATCTATAGATTCCTGGCTTCTGCTTGATTTGCTCAAAATGAAACCTAATCAAGTGAATTGGTTGCAACTACATGTTAAACATAGGACAAAGATGAAGGAATATAAATATGTTAAAAAAGTAGTCAAATTTTTAGAAGGGGTTAGTGACTGCGCTGAACGAGAAGTCAAGCTGATCTAAGACTTTAAACATAATAAAATCTTCAAAATTGTTGAAAAATAGGCGCGAAAACGGTAATTTACTCAAACGAGGTAACGGTGCTACCCCTAAATAATGTTTGATTGTATTAAATTTTTGTTATAATTCTTTTTTGATCATTATGCACCTCACATAAAATGTTTTACTCAAAATTAAAAAAAAATGTGGAATGAAAAAAATGCATTCCAGGCCAGCACAAAAACTATAAGTGGTGTAAAGATAAAAAACTTTTAGTATAAATTTAATTTGTTGTCTTCTGTGATTCAAATGTAACAGATTTTTTTAAACATTAGATTTATTCCTTAAAAAAATCAAGTCACAAAACCTGTTCAAATTATTTACCCTCCATTTGGCTCATTACAGTGTCATTTTGCCAACAAAAAAAAATTGTTTTTTTATAGTTAATTTTGTTATTGTACATGAAATTAAATTTCTGAAATATTCAAAAAAAAAAAAAATTATTTCAGAAGTTTTATGTTATGAACTTCTATTTTTTAATTGAAATTGAACTATTTACAAAATGAAGGTGCTATCTTGATTTAGAAAAATCGCAGAATATTTTAAATAATAGTGACTACTGATTCTGTCATTATTGATCCAGGCTTCTTGTCTAACAGGGATGTTAAAAATATCAAATAGTTTAACTTTTTACACAACTATCAACTTCTAGAGGTTAATTTTTTAAAACAAGTTATTATCTCATACGCGTTTATTGCGCGATTAAATCGAATTTTAATTCTCTACATATTTTTTTGTTAATACCAACTTATTGTTCCACGCACGTTTATTATCTGATAATACACGTGTATGAAAAGTTTTTTATCTGATTAAATACGTGTATGAAAAGTTTTTATTATGTATTTTCAATTTAAATTAGGTATAAAATCAGCTTAATGTCTGCAACCTGCTATGCAACTGTCTATTTGCCTGGAACCAGATATAAAGCTAAAATGATGCTAGAAGTTTCGTAAAAGAAAAAAACAACGTTATTTTTAAAGTTAAATATTAGCTTACAAATTTTTTATTATATAAATAGTGTAAATACCATTAAGTAAATAATCGTTTTAAATAACACTCCAATAGTTACCATAGTATCACATAATCCTCCAACAATTACCTTAGTATCAAATAATAACCCGATAATCAATAACCGTTCACATATACTTTAAGTTATATTCGAAAACAATTTGGTTGATTTATATGAATCAATTTTAAAAATACATCGGTTCCAAGTCCGTACATTGAAACCAGCGTGAGAGATCCTCCTAGAAATTTAGCATATGCAGCAGCAGAAGGTAAACCAAATCCATATCCAGAAAGTACACCGCCAATACCTTTATCGTTAGCTGCCCGTGAGAAATTATCAAATGTATCTTCCGTTTCACAAAGATTTCCCTCGTCATCTGTACTAGTGGTAAACGAATATTGAAAGATATCAGAAAGTTGAGAGTCTGGAATACCACCTCCTTTGTCGGATATTCTATTGCATTTTTTAAAGGTAATGATAACAATTTTAATTAACTTTAAACAAATGTAAACTAATATATATCTATACTTATATAAATATATACATATATTTATATAAGTATATATTTATATAGAAATAAAAATAAATTTAAGTATGTTTATGTTTATGTCAAATTTGGCAAAAAATTGTGGTAAATGAAATAACCACAAAAAATTATTCTTCTCCCCCCCTCCCCAAATGTGACTTAATGAAGTATATTTTTTTTAAATTCATTAAATTTTAAATATTTAATAATCTTTCAGTGTTCGAAAATGTAAAATTATTTTGGGGATTATTAAATTATGTCTTATTTTATCACATAAAACCCTATTATTTTGGGATGGCAGAAACTTTACGTCATAACTTTTGAATGTTGCAAACTTATTAAATAATATTTAAAAATATTTAATGAATTTAAATATAATATGCTAAAAAATGGGTCATGGTCACACATGGGTAAACTCATGAGTAAACTAAAAAAAAAAAAAGAAGGGTAAACTGCAGTCATGTAAAATTTATAACATACACATGGGTAAACTCATTAAAGTTATCAAAATACAAAAACAACGTCTGATTGGTCTGTTTACCAGCTCAATTAAGTCTTAATTTTCTCAATTTTTTAAATTTTCTCAATTAAGTCTCAATTTTCAACCACTTGACATTCAAACAATTTTCAACCACTTGACAGTTTTATATGAAAGCAGCCAGAACACACGCAGACAGTACTTTAGTAAAAACAGGGTTGTTTCTTTTCAATAAATCTTATACTGACCTATTATAATTGAAAATAACAGAAAGATTTGAATATCCAGCACCAGAGCATCACAATCAGTATCAACTTTATCACCTAATGCACATTGCTCATCATCAATTTCATTAACAACAATGACCAATGGCAAGTATTTCAGTGAAATTACTACTATTTAAAGTTAAAAAAACTTATATTTCATTTAAAAATGATTTTAAATATGCAATAAAAACATTTATGCAACAAATCCCTCTAATAAACATTTCAACAAATCTAAAATAAACAATCTTCAACAGAAGGCCTAGGTCTGGAATTATCAACTTTTAGGGAAAAAAATAAAAAATCGTAGCTTCGTTTAAAAACTTTCACAGTAAACAAATGAAGATCTTTGGGCTTTTGTTTACTAAAAGTTTGTATTAGTAGCTTGTATTAGTAACTATATAAAAAATGGTGTTAAAAATTTTGAAATTATTTTAATATATTTGTGATACTGTTTTGTGTTTAACTACAGTTCTGAAAAAGCATATGGGAAACCAATTGGATTTTATTGCTCTCCTTGTGTAGAAGTTATTCATACATGAATGCAAAAACTTCTCTAAACACATAGAATGAATCATGATTATATTTGTACAGCTTATTAGAATTATAGAAAAAAAAAATTGCAACAGTGTTAATATTATGTATATATAATAAAAAGGCTAGTATATTAAAACACAATCCACTCGAGCCTATTGAAGAACTACAACCTTCGTTTAAGGAGTTATACTTTCAAACAACACAGCAACAGGTATAGGCCATATATCAGTATCATACAATTTTTTAATATTTGCTTGAACATATACAACATTGCCTTTAGTAATTTTACTGAAACAAATTTTCTGCTCTGTAGCATTCTTACAGCTTTTTTGTTGGCTAAAATTCCTCTGTTTTAAAATGGAGAAAATATACACGGGGTACAAGATTTTGTCTGAAGACCATTTTGATGTTACTAGAGGTATATTCAATGGGTTAAGACTGCATTTAAACGCATAACTATTTTTTCTCTCTTGATTTTCAACTTAATTTGAACAGAAAACATCTGAATTCTTTGACACAACTCTTTGAGCCACAGGAAACAGTTTATTTAAAGAATTAATATTTTCTGACATGATATAACTTTAAATGTAAATAATCATTTTTTAAATTTGACATTAAATGTAAAAAAAACCATTTACATTCAAAAATAGATTTTTTTAAGTTATTAGATCAATATTTTCTGAACTTTTAACTTAAACCACCAGTTGATAAAAAAAAAATTTGACATTTGATATAAACAAAACCAAACAAAACATCACAACAAAAGCATTTAAAAGTAGACTTTAAAAAACTTTATTTTTATTTATAGGTTTTTTTTTTTTCCTACATTCAAAAATTAAATGGCATTATATGAATATAATGCGATTTAATTTGTAAAAAAATGTAGGAATAGAAAAATAAAAATAGTCAATAGAAAATTTTTTTTTTAATTTATTAAATAAAAATCCCATGACAAAATTTTTCCCATTAAAAATAAAAAAAAAAAAAAAATAAATCAAACTTTATGAACGTGAAAAAAAACCATTAAAAATATATAATCAATGTATGATAATATATTTTTAATATAATTGTTTAAACACCATTAAAATACACAATTATAATTACATATTAAAAAAAAAATTAAAAAAAAGAAAAACAAACTTGATTGTGAAGTATTCATCATTATTACAAATGGTTACTTCTATTGGTGGCATTTCAAAAGGATTTTCAATGTGGCGTACAACTGTTGCCCTGAAAAGTATAAAAAAAAATTTTTAGGAAATAAATTAACAATTTGATTAATTAATTTTTTTTTTAGCTTAATTTTTTTTATTAAATTTTTCATTACTACATTTATTATTTTTTTTTAATATAATTTACTATTGCATATTGCAAATTAAATTATTATATTATACATTTGATGTATTACATCATATATTGTTTATATATAATATATATTTAACTATTACATTACATAATAATCAAATATGATAATTTAAATGTATTATAAATGTATAATCAATGAATTATTATATAACATAAACAGCCAGCAAAATTAGGGTCGGCATTCGGCAATGCTGACCTAACTGCCAAACTAAATGCTTTGGCAAAAAATTGCTAATCTCTTTTCTATGTTTTATGGTAAAACCTTTGTGTTAAAATATTTTTGCCTACCTGATGCGGACCTCTAACAGCTTATGGTTACAGGTTATTTCCAACCTACTTATTTCGAGATCTGCCAAAAATAATTTTTTTGATAGTATAAATTAATTAAAGTAAAACAACCATGTCAAACCATAAACAAAGTACATCATCACTCAGCAAAATACATCTTCAAACCATAAGCAAAATAGACCATCACACCGTCAGCAAAATAGACCATCACACCATCAACAAAATAAATCATTAGTAAGTGACCGGGGTCTTTTGGTTTACAACAGTGTCTGTTTGGTTAGTCTACAACAGTAAGTCTAAAACATAATTTCTAATTTATCGGTCTGATCTTTTTACATCTCCCCAGAATAAAGCAGAGTTGTTTGCAAAGAAATTTTACTCTAATTTGACTCTTGAATCTAATGGCCATACTCTTCCTGCTAGTTAAACAGATTAACCCATTGTTAAACAACGAAATCACTCTGGCTTCCAATGCTAAAGTTAATTCTCAATTAAACACTTCTACAATTAGTGCTTCAGACTAGATTTCCATCATAGTCCTAAAATAATGTTCTCCAGAACTTTCTTCAATTTTTGCAACTATTAAAAAGAGCAAAATAAGTGGTTCTAATTTTTAAACACTCTACAAAAAACACTTTGACCTTTTCTAACTATCCTACGATCTATCCTATGTCTTCACTCTCTCACTAGTTTTTTTATATAAAGTTTTTGAGATTATTAAATTATTTCTTTCTAACTGCAGTATTAAAGTTATTCTTGAAGGACTACATTCTTCTTTATTTCAAGTAACTTTATTAGTACAACAAAGTTTTATCTTTGCTCCTATAATGTTTCTTATCTATAATAACAATCTTCATAAAAATTTTACATCTAAAGTGCCTCTATTAGATGACAATTCAACTTTATACTCTTGTCTTTGGCGGCGAGATAGCTCAGATGGTTAGAGCATCAAAGGAGAAGTTAAAACCCAGACTGTTGAACAATACGAGTTCAAATCCTGGCACCGCCAACTTAGCACTTGAGTATTACTTTGGTACGCAAAAATGTTGGTCAATAACGGACGCTACTTTGGGTTAGTCTTAATGACTATTTGTGGCTGTTCCTATGCTAAGCCAACAATATCTTCGAATATAAGAACATTGTATAGAAAAATGTAGCATAAAAACTCAAATAAATAAATTAAAAAAATCTTCAAAAAAATCTTCACTTTTTGAAGAATAAATTTTAAAAACCAGCTGCTTAGAACAAGCAGCTGGTTTTTAATCTGACCTCTCTTCTGTAACAGCCTCAAACTTCTGTAACAGCCTCGAACTTCTGTAACAGCCTCAAACTTCTGTAACAGCCTCAAACTTCTGTAACAGCCTCAAACTTCTGTAACAGCCTCAAACTTCTGTAACAGCCTCAAACTTCTGTAACAGCCTCAAACTTCTGTAACAGCCTCAAACTTCTGTAACAGCCTCAAACTTGCAGCGGCTTTTCAATTTAAAATCTGGACTTAAAATCCGCAATTTTTTTAGGCAACAAAACTCATTTATTTACTGCAAAAAAATATTGCAATATTGCTGATATTCCTAAATTGACGAATAACAACCCCCTCTTACTGAATAACAACCCTCTTACTCTCCCTCTTACTCTCAGACAAAGTCTGAAAGCACACTGTAAATGTAATTAGACCTGCCTAATCTGCCAAGTTTGAACTTCTCTCCTATTGTTTTAAGGTTACATTCTTTTTTCTACAAATACAATCATGGTCAATGCTCAAACGAGCTATTGTCTCTATTACGATAAGCCAAAACTCATTCTTGTTTGGCTTCTCATTCAACAAGTTGCATCCTTTTACTGTATCTGCCTTTTTATGCTATAAAAATGTTTAATAATCCTGTTTTTTTCTTTGCACATCAAAAAAAATTTATAACTCTTCCTTATCTTCATGTTTTCTTTTTAATACATCTTAAAACTTTTCAAGGAAGATTTTTGAGCATTAGGTTAAAAGATAAACCAGAAGTTAAATAAAGTTGGTAAAACAATAGAGCTCATTTAAGCATGACACAAAAAGATTTAAAAATGAAATCACAGGTTCCTATTTTTTGTTTTACTTTGTGTAGCTCCTGATGTTTTATGCTATTCTTTTTAATTCCATAATACAAAGAGTGGAAATAGTTCTAGTATTTTGTAGAGTTCTAGACATTTTATGTAATTCCTAGTTTTTTGTTCCTGAATTAGTTTCTGGCATTTTGTTACTTTTCATACTTTATATAATTCAAGTAGTTTATTAATTGATGTTTTTAATAATACTTAGTATTTTAATATAGAGTTATTGATAATTCATGTAGTTGCTGATATTTAATTTGGTTTTTGATGTTTTTTGTAGTTTCAGATGTTTCATTTGATTTCTTTTGTTTCTAATGGTTGTTGATATTTCATGTAACCTGTGATATTTTATATAGTTCCTTGATTTATAATGTAATTTTTGTTTTGTTTTTGATTCTTGATGTTTCATATTCATTGTATCATTGTCAATACTTGGTGTAATTACCGCTACTGCTGATTACTTGAGCCACACGTTTAGACAATCCCTGTATGAGATGTGGGCACATGTTGCGGATGTCTTGATCGTAATTCCATACTTAAAGAATTTAATAAAGCCATGCTTAGTTTTTTATCTAACAATATTTATCACATTGGTAGTGTAGTTATCACATTGGTAGTGTAGTTATCACATTGGTAGTGTAGTTATCACATTGGTAGTGTAGTTAAGTATTTTGTGGTTTTCTATAAGAATAACTTTTATTATTTTATATTATCATTTACATTTTAGTTTATTGTTTTTTGTTATTTTGTTTAAAAACTTTTTTTATACTTTATTTTATATATTTATCTTATTATCTTATATATATTTTATTTTATTTTAAATTTGTTATATTATTTGGTATTGAATTCACTACTATCACTCTCCATATTATTTCTTCAAAAATATTAGTGCTTTACAAATTTGGGTGAGGTTAGGGTTTTGGCTGTTTTATAGTGAAGTCCTTTTTTACTGCAGTATGGAGCAGGCATAAATCGCCGGGTAAAGCATAAATAGCGATGATGTTTATCTGACGGGATTTAAATTAGGTATTGGTGCTGAGCCTCTTTGAAACACCGGTAATAATAAACGCGATTCTGAGCAGAAGTTTATTACCACTACTACATAAATTATGATCACACAAAAGACGTCATAAAAAAAAATATATATTTTTTATGACATCATCTGCAATGCTGCATTTATATATGTATAAATGTGTGTGTATATATATATGTATATATATATATATATATATATATATATATATATATATATATATATATATATATATATATATATATATACATACATATATATAGACTTTAGTATACTTATATGAAGTTATTTAAAATGGAATACAACTGATACACTACAATAATTTCCACCTTACTACTTTTTACCTTATTACTCAAATCTTAACCTTGTTGCTACTCACCTTGTTGCTACTCATCTTTTAATTTTTTTTTTTTTATAGTATTGTAGCCCATAACAATTTATGAAAGATTTTTCAAAAAAAACTTGTAAAAATTTTACTCAAAACTTCGAGTTTAAAAATAATTACTTAAATAAAACAATAATTAAAATGCAAGCATTTTAATAATTATTTTATCTATTTTCAATTTTTTTTTTTTTTAAATTATTAATTTCTAAATTTTAATTGCTATAGCAGGTTTTTTTGCTGCAAATATTGATATTATTATTTTATTTTCATTCTAAACAAACTTTTTAAAAACAAAAACTTACCTCATCGAATTTTTTATCAGTTCTTGCATTATATATTCTACAGGAGCAGGGATGTATGGAAAAGTTGCCTTTGTATGGCCAGATACATAAACAGCAGGGGAGTATCCAAAGCGATGTTGACATAAATCTTTGCAGTTAATAACACATCTTTCAATAATGTGCTTTAAAGATGTTTGGGTTCCTATTATACCAATGAAATATTCCTAATAAACAAACAAACAAAAAAAAAAGCATTGTTTAATATGTTTGTTTTTTTTAAAGCTAGATTCCCATAGATGGAATCAAACTCAATATATGGAAACTTCACCCTGATCCTAACCTTAAACTAATCATATATAGGTGGCAGGTAAGGCTATCTAACAGTGATAAAAGGAAACCTACCTAGGAAAAGAAAAACTCTGATATAAAACCTCCCGGCAGGTAAGGATAACAAATCTTCCTAGTGATAGGATGGTTCCTAGTGGTAGGATAGCTTCTAGTGGTAATAGGGTTACTAGTGGTAGAATAGTTTCTAGTGGTTAGATGATTTCTAGTGGTAGGATGGTTTCTAGTGATGGTATAACAATAAAAATACCTGCAAAGATATAATCCTAAAAATATCTGCAAAATAGATACTTTACAATACAAAACATAAAAATAATTACAATAAAAGTAAATAAACAACCTTTTTATGTCTTAATGCAAGATGATGCTCAGCTAACAGACGAATGCCTAATCGAGATGTTAAAGTTCGTTCAGCCAAATCACCTAAGACTTCATACTAAAAGAACTTTTAAAAATAACTTTTTATAAAGAACCCAAACAAAGAACTTTAAAATAAATAATAATATAATAATAACTATATATATATATATATATATATATATATATATATATATATATATATATATATATATATATATATATATATATATATATATATATATATATATATTAATAATAATAATATTAATAATTATTATTATCTTAAAAACATCAATAAATATGAATTTCTCTCAATATTAAATTTATTTTTGTAAATAAATTTTTGCTGGATTGTTGTGACCAGTGTCATCAGCTTAAAAGTTATTTGTTTTAAAAATTTCTTTAAAAAAAAAAAAATGAATACATAAATTAAGTATCGAGAGAAATTTGTATTTTAGGTACCGTCCATAAAATACGCAACGCTAAATTTCACTAATAAACAAAACAAAAAAGGTTAAAAGTTTTCCCGTGCAGAGCCTTTAGTTAAATAAAAAGTTAAAACAACGCATTAAGTATAATCAAAATCGCAGCGTAAAAGAGCTTAAGATCTTCTACTTTTATTTTTTAAATAAATTTAGCGTTGCATTTATGGACGATCCTTTATTGATATTTTAAAAATAATAATGTTATATATAAACAGGTCTTGGCGGGAAGTGAGTGCTTTAGCTCTCGCTCACACTCCTAAAATGGTTTACGGGAGCAAATTATGGCTCTTGCAAAAGTATAACTTATTCTCTCAATAGTATAATTATTATTGTAACTAAAATGAAAAATAAAGTTATTTAAAAAAAAAAAAAATGAATTATTGCATAATAATCTGCAATGCTTTTTAAAACGCACTTTTGTTGCAAAAAAAAAAAAAAAACTTAAAAAGAGCCCGGATTGAAATGCACGTGTTTTTGATTAACTGATAAATTGACACTCTAAATTATATTGATAAAATATAAGATTATTTAACTGATTAAATATAAAATTATTGCACTTTAAATTATTGCATAATAATTTTTATTTTATGTAATGAATTAAATATTTTGTATTAAATTTATTTAGACCAGGCAACCCTCGTCTAAATAAATTTTTCACGGCGCAATGATGCTTGTTATGTATCTTTTTGTAATATTAATGTTACAAACATATGCTTCTAACAACTAAAAAAACAAATTTTGTATTAAGCGATTTTTTAGAGGAATAAACAGATAGCTTGTGCAAAAACTAAAAGCTCTCGTAAGAAGCAGTTTAGAGGAACAGCTTGCACGGCGTTCACTTTAGGAGAGCTTTTCTCTGCTCTCGTGCTCATTTTCTCCCGTAGAGGCCTGTGTATATATATATATATATATATATATATATATATATATATATATATATATATATATATATATATATATATATATATATATATATATATATGTTATATATACATACACATATATAATTTTGCATATATATATATATATATATATATATATATATATATATATATCAGGAGCTATTGTAGAACGTTTTTGACAGCACCAACCATATTTGGATGCTGCCCAAATTCAGAAATAGAAGACCTTTTTTTTCAAATAATATTGTTTTTTTTTGCGAAAAAAAACAACATTTCTTTACAGAAAGGCACCAAAACAGAGGGTACTGCCACCCAAATTATTTTCCTAGAATAGTCCCTGTGTATATATATATATATATATATATATATATATATATATATATATATATATATATATATATATATATATATACACATATATATATATATATATGTATATATATATAATATATATATATATATATATATATATATATACATATATATACATACAACTATATATACATACAAATATATATTAACATATATATATATATATATATATATATATATATATATATATATATATATGTATATATATATATATATATATATATATATATATATATATATATATATATATATATATATATATATATATATATATATATATATATATATATATATATATATATATATGATTATTATAACTCTATATATATATATTGTTAATTCACTTCTTAAAGGCCAAAAAAGCTACTTTAGTGGATGAGATACTTTAGTTGATTTACAATCTAAGTAGTTGTACAATCTTCTCACAATTCTATAACTATGAAAATCTTGACAAACAAGACCGCTGCTCAGTGAAACATGTTGAGCGTGGTACTAACGAGGACATGGTGGGGATCGAACTTGAAATTTCTCGCTTATAAAGCAAGCGCTCTTCCACTACACTACTACCGCATTCGATATATATATATATATTATATATACACTTTTAAAAAGACAAATAAAAACAAACTTACAGGTACAAACTTTTTCACTTGACGAAAAGCTTTTGCAAGGTAAGTAACAACATCTTTGTGATCATTTAAAAGCTGGCTTAATAAAAAACTGTATTCTCTCTCTTTTTCTAAGTTGTCAATCTGAAAATTTTTTTTGATTCATCATTCTCAAAATTTTGATTTTCTTTTTGAAAATTTTTTTGAAATAAAAATCAAAATATGTAATGCATACCTCACTGACATGTACCAACTTACGAAAAGCCCGAAGATACAACTCATACTAAAAATTAAAAAACACATTTATGTCATACATTAATATCAATACTTCATATATATCAATATTTCACCAAAATGATATCATTAAAGGGATCCCTAAGTGCTCCTAACATATGATCTCATATGAAAGAGCATAAAAAAAAAATATGTAAGTTTTTTTTCTTTTTCACTAAATTGTAATAATAAATGCATGCTAACAAAAAGCAATTGCCGAAATCACTAAAAAACAACTCCATTTTGATTTTATTTTTTCACCATTGAAACTCGATTGATAGTCGTTAAAAATCACGTTAGTACGTCACAACAACTTTAGAATATCTACTTCAATTTTCAAGTAAAAAAAAGTCGTGATTAAATAGTTAAGTTTTAATCAAGTTTTTTTAATAGTTTTGCAAAAACAGTATAATAGCATTCGGTTAAAAGACATCGTTAAATAAAAAGTTATTAAGTAATAGTTTTAAATAGTTTAGAACGCGATTGCTACACACACTTTTGTGATTAGTTTTTTCTTAAAAAAAATCTTTTCGCGACTTGTTTTATTTTGGTTGATTAATTACTTTTTTTCTAGCTTAGCATTTTTTTTAGCAATTCTTAAAAGTAATGTTTTTATCATAAAGAACGTCACACAAAATTTATTATTCTGAATAGATAGATGAATAGATGCTTTGCTCTTTCGCGTGGAGATTTTCTTTCAACGTAAAACATTTTTGAATTTAAATTACTTTAAATCTCTGCGTGGAAAATTTTTACAAGGTCATTAAAGCGAAAAGTTGAAAAGTTGGTTTTTATTTTTGTTTATCAAAACTTCATGTTTAAAATAAGGCTTAAAAACGTTAGAGCAAAAAAATTACTGACTTTTATTTGCATTTTTATACTGTTTGAAAAAAAAAACTAATAAAAAAGATTTAATTGTTATTATTATTAATTCTAATAATTATTAATTAATATATTATTAGTTAATTCTTTTTTATTAGTTTTTTTTTTTCAAACAGTATAAAAAAGCTAATAAAAACCAGCAATTTTTTTACTTTAACGTTTTTAAACCTTATTTTAAACATAGAGTATAATTCGATTTATTAAACCAAATTTTTTTGTTTCATCTTTTATTGGAAAACTTGAAATAGAAAAATTGAATAAAAACATCAACCATTTAAATGAAAAACTTAATTATACTTAAACTTTTATTAGTCCTTTATTCAAGAAACAATAAATTATAAAAAACATGGTATCTTATTTTTTATTAAGTTTTTGACGATGTTTTTTGATTTATTGACGATAATTTTTCCCCCATTACCGCACATCGGCGCGAGCTATAAGAGAGAGAGAGAGAGGAGGGGGGGGGGTAAGAGCAAAAAAAAAAATTAGTTTTTTTTCGAATAGATTTATTTGCGTTAATTCGAGCCCTGTCTTAGTTTAATTTCTAATAAAATGTCTATTCAACCTTATCAAAACCAACATAAATGTTAATTTAACTAAAACATTTTACAATAATAATTTTTTTTATCAAGCAAAAATGAGAGTACTTTTGAAACCATAAAAATAAACCATAAAAATAAACCAAAAAAACCATAAACCGTCACTTTTGAAACCATAAAAATTACTGAAATAAATTTATTTTTCTACTAAGGAAATATTTTTAATAAACTTTCATGTGTCTAAGTCAATATTCATTTGCTTTTAACTGACTAAAAAGAGTTAAAAATTTGACTTCTATTCATTTTTAGCCGTGGAATTGCCCTTATAACACAAATATATAAATTAAAATTATAAAAAAAATTTTAATATACAAATATATTTTCACAAAATGCTACAAAACTAATTCTTGTAAGTAATTATGTGTTAGTTGAAAAAAAAGGACTTTACTTTTAAATTTAATTACCAACTAATTAGTTTGCAATAATGACATTTTGTCTACCTTGTTTAATATGACGTACAAACGTTAGATTTTTGAGGCAATAGAGTCAATAAACTTTGGACAAGATGCATTTTTTTTAATCGAAGAAAAGCATTTTTTAAATTAAATTTGTTACTGTGCGTTCATTATTACGTTTTAGAAAAAATAATATACATTAAACATTTTTTTTAATGCTCTTTCATATGAGATCATATCTTTATAGCACTTAGGGATCCCTTTAAAACAACATCACTGAATGATGTCATTAAAACAACATCACTGAATGATGTCATTAAAACAACATCACTGAATGATGTCATTAAAACAACGTCACTAAAGTTTCTAAAATAATCATTAAATGTTATAACTATATTTATTTTATAAATTTAGAAAAAACTATTACCACTTCCTGCATAATTGGATTAATCAAAACAACATACGGCAGGCTTTGAAAATCTTTTATGTGTCGAGCAATTCGGCGAGGCAATTCTTGTTGCAAATAATGGGCACTTTTCTTTAAATATAAAAAAAATTTATTCAAATTGTATATTTTATTCAAAATATAAATGTCTTTTATTATATTTTTAAAATTATCAAAAAACCTTAAAAAACAATCAAGCTTTAAAAGGTATAGAGTAAAACAGGGTAAAATGAAATAGTTGGTAGAATGAAATAGTTATGACAATGTTCTTTTTTTTTTCTCTTAATAATTGAATAATCTTTTTGCAAATATTTTAAAATCACGTTGTATAGAATACTTTTCTGAGTAAGATGATATCAAATTTTATTTTTAATGAAAAAAAATTTGTTATTAATTTTCAAGTTTTTGTATACGTAAAAGATTTTTTTTATTATTTTGAAAAACGAACTTAAAACTCTCAGAAGTTAAATTGATATCATTGAACTTAAAAAGTTTTCTGGCATAACTTTTAAGTTCAATGATATCAATTTAACTTTTTATGCTGATCAAGAAACTTTTTTCAAAATTAAATTTGCTATTTAGGAAAAAAAGTTATGAGTAAAAAAAAAAAAAGGAGAATTGTGTGGAATAAAATACACTAATAATAAGTAGAGCAAGTTGAATTTGCGATGGTTAAAGTACAAAGCGTGAAGTGAATTTTCACTTAACAAATCTGCTAAATCATTCAGTATACCAATAGCAACTTTTCACAGGTCTTCATTTGTCAAAACAACCTGAATCAGTTTTTGTAGACATGCTCATTAAATTATCTGATTGGGGCTTTGGTAAAACTTACAATAACGTCATAACACTAGGTACCAACTATTTGCAACATCAAGGTCAATCTCATTTGTTTTCTAATTTGTTTTCTACCAATCTCTTCCTGGTACACCAGGAAGAGATTGGTATAACCTTTTCATAAACTAGTGGAGTCATAGGTTGAACCTCAGAGCTAAAGGCAATATTTCATCACTCAGACCCACTTCTTGTATGCAAGAAATAGTAGCAAAGTATTTTAACACACTGCAAAGAGAATTTAACGTAGCAGGTATCAACGAAAACACTTCATGTCATTTGTGGAATTTTGATGAAATTGGCTTTTCTGGTGATCAAGGTAAGCAAAATATAGTTTGCCAGCGTGATAAAAAACGACCATTGAAATTGGTTGGCAACAATAAAAAGTCCATTATACAGTTGGAAATTGCATTAATGCTGCTGGTAATTGTCTTGCTACATTCATTATTTTTAAATCAAAAAAAGCTCTGTACAGAGATTGGTGTTTAGGTAGTCCAGATGATGCCATATATGCTATATCTCCACCCGGATGGATGAAAAATAAGCAATTTGTGCAGTGGCTCACTTATGTGTATGTTCCCGCCTTTAAGAAAATTCCAGGTAATTAGTTCAATCTAATTTTAGTTATCCAATTATATTTATATAACTTTACATTCACAAAAGTTTACATTCACATCAATCTAATTATAGTTATCTAATTTTTAATATTCATATTTTAGTCGCAGATGGACATGTGACACATGTCACTTATTGGGTCTTACTTATTTGCATCAAAAACAATATCTTGCTAATTTTCTTACCAGCTCACTCATCACATATTCTGCAGCCACTAGATGTCGCTGTTTAAACAGTTTTATGCAGAGACAATGTTTAGCAACTTATTAAAAGAATGTTTTGGTCACCTGCAAAAAAAAATTTCAGCTGGCTTGTTTCCACAGGACATCAATAAAATCGATTGTCATCTAAACCTGAGCCTTCATTATCTCAACAACCAGAATCTATGATAGTACCATCACCAATACTAGCACAAGGAACTACACTATCTCAGCCACTGCCCTCTGAATCAACACCAACATCTAGCATCAGCATGTCACAAACCATCAGCTCTAAAGTCACCTCAAAAGTCAACCCTGTCTGCAAACAACCTTTAATGTTGTAGTAATTTCAGCTATTCAAAAAGTTCAAAAAGAGGTTGAAAAACAACTGCAATCACTACAATCACTTGCAGCAGCTTTGCAACAAATGTTTCGTATCCAACAGATTGACACGCAAAAAAAGAAAAATGTAGATGTGCAAGATTTGAAGGGGAGTGTCTCAACACACCTGAAATACTTGAAAGGTTGAAAGATGCTGAGGGCAAAAAAACAGCAAAGCAAGCTAAAAAATAACGTAAGTTTAACTCTCATGGCAAACAGTAAATAAACCAAACAACAAGTCCAACAAAAATATTAGCTGCAAACCAATTTAAGTGTAAAAAGTGCCGAAAAGTTTTAGACAAAGCTTCAACAAGTCAAAATATGGATTGGTACCAGTGTGAAAATTGCAAGGTTCAGTATGCATGTCAAACATGCATACCAAAGCAATACATAAAAGGTGCTGAGTTTTATTGCACCAAAAAGTGCCATACAACTGAAAACTCAACTCAACCTCTAGTACCTCTAAACAACTCAACAGAATAAAAAAGTTTATTTTATATAATTGATTTTTTAATTGTTATTATTGATTGTTTGTTTAATTGTTATTATTGATTGCTTTTTTTTTTTTTTTAAAAAAAAAAAAAGTATTGTTTTAATTAAACATATATTTGTGTATTTCATTCTCCTAGAATGTTAGTGTAGAATGAAATAAATTTTTTCTAAATCAAATAAAGTTTCATAAGAAACTTTAAAAAAAATTTTGATTTTTATATATTTAAATACAGCTTAATATTCTCTACAACTTAAAAAAAAAAAAAATTGAAAATATTTTTTCATGATTTTAGTTATTTATTTTTTAAAAATAAATAATTAAAACCCTTAACTATTCCATTTGACCCCATTTTTCTCTATTCTATATCAAAATTCAGAAAACTGAATTTGACTAAAAAATTTCATTTCTCTTTCATTCAATCTTATATTGTTTGAACCTTTACTAAAATGAATACCTAAATGATACACTTAACTTTTCTATTTAGTTGTTTTTTATGATAAAATTATTTTACATTGATTATCTATATCTGCCATTCTGTTTTTAAAATTCAAATTAATTAAAAAACTATATTAAAAAAAAAAACTTGATTAATGTTTTAAAATTAATAATAATGTTTAAAACTATATACAGTTCTAAAAATCTAGCAACAAATAAATATTTATACAAATCTTGATTGACATGCATATATATGTTACATTTGCATATACATGTTAAATATGCATTTACATCCATATATATTTTGCATATGCATATACATGTTACATTAACAAAGTAAATAAAATCAAAATAAAATAATTCACCACAAGATGAGATCCATCAGCAAATTTTCCATGAAACATAATCTGTGTTGGAGTTAACTTGTGTAAAGGCTAAAAATTAGAAAATTATCATCAGCCTAGACTTTGAAACCTTAGACCTTGAAAAACAAAGATAAGAGGCCTGAAAAACCAGTACTCTATGCCTGACTACTATCTAAACAAATTCCAAATAAAAAACCTTTGCAGCCTCTCTATCAACAAAATCTTGATCATAGTATGCCCATTTTTTCTCTAACCCATATTCAGTGTTTGGTCCACTTGAAACAAATCTCCAAAATTTGAAGTGTTTTAGCTGATCGACCTTTCTGCTAAGACTCATTCAATACACGTGTTGTTGCATTGGTTTTAACATTAGTTTCTGATAAAAAAATACCTTGAGGCTATCTTGAAAAAAGTAATAACTTGAGACTACATTTAGAGTTAAAATATTCCTAACAAATAATAAGGTAATAAATAAATAGATTGAAATCCTTTTCAAAATCTAAAAACTCAAACAAAAATGATTGTTTAATAACAATCAGAGAAAAATTGGAAAGTTTTAGAGCTCTAGAAATTCCTTCAATTGAATCCTTCAATTCTAATTGTTTTGAAATTTTAAACAAAAAAAGTTTATTGAATTATGAAATAAAACATTTACACCTTTTCTTTAAAAATTGTTTCTTATTCAAAAATATTTTTTTCTTTTTAAGAAATGTTTTTCAATTAAATCTGAAAAAAAAATTATTATTATTAAAATGTTTAATATTTATAATGAATGTAACTTGAAAGCTGAAAAAAGAAACTTTGCAAGCCAACCCTACTTATCCATTCTGATAATCTGACCATTCTATTATACAAGCCATAAATCGATAATGTATTTTAAGCCACTGACATATATAAAAAACACTTGGCTCAGTGTACAGTATATGTATTGTGGATATATTAATTAATTGTAGCAAAAAAAATCCTTTAAAGATTTTTTAATCTTTTTGGGAAAGACAAAGAAAAACTTGCAATTTTCACAGTGAAGTCACTTAATGACCAGAAATAAAACTTTTAGATTTTTAATAATAAGCATAACAATATTGGCAAATTTACAATAAACAAATGTGTTTTACGGTTGATAAAAAACTATTTGCCAGTTTTTAGTATTTTGCTTTACTTTTTTAATTATGTACTAAATTCATAAAATAGTATAATTACTACTTATACTATAAATAATAATATGATAACAACAAGATCTCAGAAAGCTTGAAGACCTGTGAAGGTTTTGAACAAAACATGTTATAATATTGGAAGATTTGCTGTAAAACCTTATGGTTTACCAGTGAGCAATCTACTATCTTACAAAAAGCTCATCCAATATGATTACAAGATTAAAAAGATTTATAGATAGAAATCCACTACTTTCTTCTAAGATTTGCAGAAGCTATGTAATAAATACTTTTGAACACTTAGATGTCACAAATGTTGTGACTGCAGAAAAAGTGGCTGCAGAATGAAACACATAGTGTGATTCTGTGAGGAAAATCAGAAAATAAAAAAACTCAGATAGCAACTAAATATAGTTTCTCAATGTTAAGGTCATTTAATTGACACTAAGCATCGTCAAGAGGTTTTACAATTAAAAGTAATTGATGTGAATGGAAAAAAAATTCATAAGTCTTTGAGAAGAAATAAAAGAGTAATAGGGACTTGTAATGAACCACTCAACTCAAACATCATCTCACTTTTACTTGTGAAAATGTAAAGGACTTGCACTGTATATTTAATTTTATATATTTAAATGCATTGCATAATTTTTTCGATATATTTATATACAGCTTTGTTTATAATTAAAAATTTTTGTATATCAATGCCTTTTTCTGAAAATTATCTGACACATGTTATAATAGAAAATGGTAAAGGTAGGAAAATCGCTTTAGCAACATTAAATGTCCAAACTGAATATGTTTATACATGAATAACTTTGATACAATTTGTTCCCATAGAATATGAGATAGAGTTGTATGTAAATGCCATACTTGTAAACAAAAATTCACCAAGGCTTCCTAATAAAACAATACAGTTAGTCAATAAACAGAATAACAGAATTCAAAAGATTGTATTGAAAAGTTTTCAAGGTAACTGCTGCTGTCAAGAAAACTTTCTTAATGCTATGCTACCAGATAATGTATTATAATTTTGTAAGAGATTGCTCTTATAAATATAATATCACTATAAACAGGGGTGTAGAGTCGTAAAAAAAAAACCACCGACTCCAACTCCAGTCGTTAAAATTTTCACAGTACGACTCGGACTCCAACTCCAAAGCAAAATTTTTGAAAAATTCTTTGAATTTTTCTTTGTTATCTTTGTTATTAGATAGATTAATGTTAGACAAAGAACATGAACATATTTTAAGAACATCTTCAATAAGCATAAGAAATATGTTTTAAGTGAACCTGGAGCTCATAAAATAGTTAATGGCTATTAATTCTCTTTCATTAAAGGTTTTCAGAGACTAATCAAAATAATATTTGCATAATACTTACATATCAATTATAATAATTAACTTGAACAAATATTATAAAAATAGATTTACCAACAATAGATATACCATAAATGCCTTCTAGAAAACGAAATTTAAAAACAGCTAAATTTTCCATTACATTATAAAAAATGTAGGAAAAAGTTGTAACTCCCTAACCCACATAATTATTATAAGCTGAGAGATTAATTTTCAAACAAACACTTTTAGGTAAACAAGAGTTAAAGACAGAAATGTCTTAAATTTTTTCAAAATCAAATCAAATGTTCAATAATACATGAAACTAAACAACACTGATTTTTCAGTTTTGATTTTTCAGGCATATAAACTGATTCAATCCAAGTACCATGCTATCAATTCAAAAACTAAAAACTGGCGGAAAACATATATACCTCTTATTAAGTTTTATAGCACCTGGGAATACTGAATCAACAAAATTTTAGAAACAGACTGTAAAAAACTTTTAAGAAACATATTTAGTTTGAGAAAATAAAAAATCTAAATTAAAAGCAATTTTATGATAAGAAATTTTCTAGTTATTTTTTCTCTCTCACGCATTAATATAATAAACTCTGTAAAAATTGTAACATGCACAAAATTACAAACACAAAAGATAAATAATATTAAATCAACATATCAAATTAATTTTAAGTATTAATTACAAAATAAATTAGTTAAAAAGTAGTACAAATTTTTATACATTTGTAATTTTTTTTTTTTTTATTTGTTTACTAAACCATAAAACTGAAAAAACTACAAATATATTTATAATTTTACAAAATCAGGTTCGGTGTCACTCATATAGTTAGAAACTAGTCATTGGACTATAATGAAAAATAGAACAATATAATAAATTTATTAAACAATATAATATGTATTGCCATATAATTTTATAAGAATGCTTTTTTAAATAATAAAAATATACATACACTTAAAAAGCATCCATAAAAAATTTTTTTGGCAGGAATAAATTTCACACCTATGTGAGAATAAGCACCTATGTTGAAAAAAAAATTATGTCTATCTTTAAGCTTAGATGAGTACAATAAGAAAATAAAATTTGTTGAACAAAATAACGATGTATACAAATAATGACTATAACGATGTATGAAATAGAGTATACAAATTTTTCTGGTAGGTGTGCGAGATAATAAACGATGAAACATGTAATACTATAATATATAATGTAATTATACAACAAAATTGCATTGAGCACCTGTGTTTTTAACAAAATTTAGTAATTTCTTGTATTATTCTTATGATCATAAATCTAAATTTTAAAAAATCACTCGCCAGGTACTCCTATTGGTCTCAAATAATTATCTTAAATTATCGTAATATTGTGGAACACATTAAAAAGGAAAACAGTCAATAAAAAAAATAAAGATAAGATTATGGCTGATCAAGATAAGATTATAATGGTTTCCAGGTTCTGAATAACTTCTTTTTGGTTTCTAACAACTATATTTATTTTATTAAAAGTTAAAACTTTTAACAAACAGAGTAGCATGCTAATTACAGTTTGAAAGTTAAATTAAATTTTTAAATAAAAATAATGCCAAATTAGTCTTTGTTAAAAACATGCTTCGAACACGTGTTATACGATAAAAGCGTTTATCGCCAAGATAAATGCGTTTATTGTATAATACATGAAAAAATTTAGTTCTTTAAAATTTTTACATCTTTTAACATTTTTGATTGAACCATTAGGTTTAGTTTACAGGAGTCTAATTAAAACTTGATGGAAAAATTTGAACAAATTTATTAAAGTGACATATGTTATAGCTTCAACAAATCTTTATATAAGTTTTCCAAATTCAAAAAGGGAAAAAAGCACTTTTATTTTTTGTTTGCAACAAAGATATCTACTTATCTTCCAATATACTACTTTTCTTTTTGCTGATAATACTCAAGTCATCTGAAGCTACTCAAATATCAGCTTAATGTCAAGTAAAGTATATTAAAAACTTGTGTACGGTTTAATTGGCCCGACGGGCATTTCTTTTTAAAAGTTACGATCTAAATGTATTTTAAATGTCTTTTAAACGTCTTTTAAACATTAATGTTTAAAAGACGTTTAAAAGACATTTAAAACACATTTAGAACGTAACTTATAAAAACAAATGCCCGTCGGGGGGTTAAGAAAAGAAGCGGAGTAGGACGCGGGAGAAGTGGTACATCTCAAAAATTCCAATAATGAGTGGTCCCTATAATCACTGTATAATCAGTATCTAATGTAAACATTAAGATTTCTTCCCCTCTATTTATCAGACATCGTTTTGGCTCCCTGTGTGTGGTAATAAGCCGTGGTGAAGTGGTGGCGCACTTGCCTCAGAAACTAATGATTCGTGGGTCCATACCCCACCTCTAGACAATTTTCATAACAGCGTTTAGGAAGGAGGCGTGAACTTCCAATTAAATGCTCATTTGTTATGCTCTGTGATAAGACCGTAAGGACTTCTTGGGCACCTAAATAAAATTTGAAAAAATCACAATTTTTGAAAAGGGGTGGTTCCTCTAAAATCAAAAGTATGTATTCTTTATTATAACCTTCTGTTTATTTTAGGGGGATAAAATCAGATGCAGTACATCCATTATATGTATCATACATACTATATACATACATACATACTACATACTTACTACATACATACATACTACAATGCATACTATGCATTACACCTGATTTTACCCTCTAAAATAAACAGAAAGTTATAATAAATTGCTTCAGTACATACATTATCTAAAAATATACTAAAATTATTCTAGAATATTTTAAAGTCTCCCACTTCTTCCCACTCGCCTCTATTAGCTGGAGCAATCATATCAAAAAAATGAAAAATAAAATATTCAAAACTATTGATACTATGCATAAAAAAAAATTTCTTGAACACAAGTTGTTTAA